TAGCTGAGTACAACTCATCACAGTTGAAGCATTGGCCCTTGGCTCGGCGCTCGGCCGTCTCGGCCCTGGATAAGCGTCTGATGGGAGGCGCTGTCATGCTGCTCCCCATGCTAGTTGCAGATCGGGTAGTGTTGCTGGTGAAGGGGCGTTGTTCCCGATTGGCAGCCATCGACGGCCCTCCTGTAGTATACCTTGGGTTCGTCCAAGTCGTTGCGGGACGCCCCATGCTAGACGGCCCTCGGCTGATCTGCAGCTTGCGCTCGAAGGCTCGGGCCAGATTCATTGCTGTGACTAAGTTGGGTGGGCTCTGCATCTCCACATCAACTCTCAGAGATTCAGATAGGCCGGTTGTAAACATATCCACCTGTTGGTCTGGCCGAACTGAAGAGGCTATGGCGAGAAGGGTCTGAAACTGCCGTTGATACTCCACGACAGTACTGGTATGCTTGAGGTTAATGAGCTCCCCCAAGGGGTTGCTTGTTAGTGGGGGTCCGAACCGAAGGAGGCAATACGATTTGAACTGGTCCCAACTAAGGCCTGGTTCTTCTTACTCCACTCGGTAGAACCAGAGCTATGCTTCATCGATCAAGTGGAATGTTGCCAAGCTAACCTTGTCCTTCTCTTCCGTGCGCTGATTACGGAAGAATTGCTCGCAGTGGTACAACCATCCAAGTGGGTCACCGCTGCCACTGTATGAGGAGAACTCCAGACGACTGTATTTGGGTATGACTGCTGCTGTTGGGGTGTCGTTCTGTCGTTCATCGGATCCCTCTGCCCGATCTGGGCGACGACTGTTGTGGGTGGCTGCCCCTTCGGGGCTCCTTTCCCTTTTGGAGAAGTATAACTCCAGTAGACGCCGGAGTTCCCTGACGTCCTCTTTAACTTTTCTTACCTCCGCGTGATTTTCCACGAGACGGTGTTCCAGCTCGTGAACCTTGGATGATAGTTGCTCCATGTCACCCATGACGCTTGGCTCTGATACCAAAATGTTATGGGCCCGGGTGTAGGATCTCGTCACGGGGCGGTTTGTGGGGGAAACTCCTTGCCTTCCCTTGCCCTTCCCTTTGCGAGTTGACCCTATGGTGGCAAACTGAGGGGGGTGATTTGTTCAAGAGACCACCCGAACTCTCCTCACTCTTTTTTTGACTGGAAAACTGAATGCTTTATTCCAATTCGTGGCTCCTTAAATAGGAGATTACAAAAGGAAATTCCTAATTAAACTCAAACTCCAACTTGAACTCAAACTACTAATAACCTACTCCTAATGGTAACATAATTCTTACTTAAGATAGGGATAAGGATAAGATAAGATAAGGGATAAGAGATAAGGAAGGCTGAAGGCAAGTTATCTTGACGTGTCCAGATAAGGGTGGGCCCACCCCTATGAGCTGTCGTGTAGGCCCCGCCTTACTGCTGTTGCCAGGTGTGTACGCACGGCTCGTGGTGCTACCTCTGCTGCTGTCGTGTGGTGCAACTGCGGGTGGTAAGCCACTGACTTTTGCCAACTGTGTTTCATTGCTCTCGTTGGATTACTTTTTAAGACAAATTATTGTCTTTTACTGCATTCATTAAGCATACTTACTCCATTTTATGTCTAATTTGGGCTACTTTTTCTCTAATAAAATTTCCCCACGTCAATGATTTACTCCTCCGACTTTCTTTTTAGCAACCCAATGCAATGCAAAGATAAGAGAAAATTTCTTGGTTATTTAAAGAATGAAATGACGTTAATTGTGTGGGGGCGGAGATGCCCCACCGACTTTCTTTTACTGCACTCATTAAAGAATGAATGAAATAACTCGCACTTTGCCCGCCCGCACGCGAGAAAGCCCCACCGCGTGCATTGTGTGGGGCGGAGATGCAAACTGGTTGATATGGACTGTTATGTGATGGATGGGGCAGTCTGCAGGAGTGTCAGATGTGGAAGGGGTGGGGGCCACAAAGATCTTTCGGCTTTATATGAAATAGGTGGATTCGTCCATTCGTGTGGGAAACCGGAAACAGGGAAAGCTCTTTACTTGATCCAATTGCCAATTGGACCGTGGTTTTTCTCAACTAGTACTTAGCTTTCGTATGTTTGAGCATTTTCTTTTACTTGTGAATGAAGCCATGAAGGGGTGTTCCATTTTCAAGCTAAGAAACATAATTAAATGCCAACAAAGAATGGGAGAAGTACCAATCAGCCCAGATCAGAATTTTCTGGCCCTATATTCTCTAAGTACAGAGGAAATGCATTCTGACCGTGAATTAATGTCAAATTTACGGTTAGGATGTGATTTATAAGGGGCAGAAGTAAGGAGGGCTGGAATTCAGAATTGTGCATCGTGCAATTTTATACTTCTCCCTAATAATTGTGTGGGTCAAACAAAATACAGTCGTTTTCATGATTAGAGGGTCGGCGCTGAAGACGTCGTAAACAAGTTCAGAACTAGATTTTGAGCCATGATGCGTTTCTGTATTTTAAAGGGAAATCAAGATTAGTAATTTGATTAAATTGATTAAGTTTGGCTTCCATCAAGAAAAATGATGACTCGTTTTCCTATAGTCGTTCTTGTAGGTTTGTCGAATTTAAAAGATTCAAAGAGCTTTCTAGGGATAATATAAAAAGACATTATTGTCCTTGTTTCAGGCTTTTGAGTCCTAACCAGAGTTGATACCTGCGTTGTTTTGTTCAATTAATATAGGGAAAATGACCAATCGTCCCAGAAAATCATTCTTAGTGATGTTTGTATGATTTTTCAGAGTTTTTTATTATCAAAATTATGAATTCGATTATAATATCGAAAAAACATCATATAAAAAATAACACTTACAACCAATCAACTGGCATAATAAAAATAAGAACCAATCAAATAGATTTTCATCAAAATCCATGGGAATGTAATGAGTCAAAGCCTTTATAATATCATGTCTTTTCAATTTGGCAAGCCTTTGAGAAGATCTTGTAACTCTAACGTTCAAAAAACGTATTGAGCTTTTGACATAAGATTTGGGCAGCTTAAAGACTGTTTGGTAGATGTGCATTTTTTCTACGTCGTTCTAGGTCTTTCCGTGCAAGATTAAAACACAAAAGACGTGAAAACCTTCATTTGGAGCTTCTTGAAATCAGCCCAAAATAGTCGTCTTGCGTCTTTTCAACATCTTGTCTTTTGGCGGCTAGATTTTCCGTATGTTAAACGAAAATAGACCGATTTTCAATCTTCCCGACTTGTAAACAACCAAAAGACCGTACAGAAAGATGCGTTAAACTTGTCAGTAGACCTGTTCATGGGTTGGACTTTGGGCCTGATTTTACATAGTGTTGGGCTCGGGCTTCGGACTGGGCCCACTAAAATTTTGATAAAAGTCAAACCCGAGCCCGGCCCAGCCCGACCCATGAACATTCTGATTGTTAGGGATTGAACCAGGATCGCCTGCGTGACATAAGAAGCTAAGCCTGTGCAAATGCAAAGTGATAAAATAATAAAGAAATATAACTAATTAATTTATTACTTTATTTAATAAAAAATGTAATCATATTATTATTACGTGTTTCTACTCTTCATCTTAACATGTCTTTCATAAAAAGGTAGTTTTGTCTTCTCAAGCCCATAGTTCTGTATGCCTTATTATTATTGATTTTTGTTTGTAATATATATGACTTGCTAATTGATTTTACCCATAAGACATCTCTTCCCCTTTCTAAGTGTAAGCTTAGGTGTCTTATACCTACGGACTACATACATGAATATGCAAAAGATAAAGTATTGGCTTGGGTATAATATAAGTTCAAATAAAGTCTATTCCTGCCAGGATTGGTAAACGTCCAAACATATGATAACCCTGTCAACTCCCATCAAGATTGATCATGGCAAAGCCTGAATCACATCCCTGATATCTGCATCAATGGCTCTTACAGCTGCATAAGTTTTCCCAAATGCAATAACAGGGCAAAAGCAATGGATGTAGGTACTAGATTCATTTGTACCAGCTAAGACACTTCCGATAAACAAAAGGTGGAGGGTAGGTAAACAATGGAAGTGAAAGCGACTGGGGTTGTTAAACATTTTCATTTTTTTTTAAAGTTATTCCTTAACAATTGGAAATACATTTCTCGCCAACTATCTGTTCGATCCTTGTTATTTATTATTTGATTATTTAGTCTTTGACAGGAACATTCTTTTTAAACATTTAATGGCTGCAAATTGTTTCCGATTATATCCAAATTTAAATTCGATCCGATTTGATCTGATTTAAATATGTATGGTCATATGTACGTACTAGATTCAAGTTTTATATAAGTAATTTTCTATTCATTTTGTTCGTACAATATAATATCAAAGTCATTTTTAACTCATTTTATTATTAATATATAATATTTTGATTATTTTTTAGTCTAATTTATTTAAATTTTTTAATAATCAATTATAATCCGAATTTGATTGGAATCTACTACATCTCTCAAAAGTACGTGATCCATTCCAATGTTAAAGGTTTTAGATCTATCAATATTAAAGATTTAGATACCAGAAAAAACTTGTAACCATTCAACCGGAATCTTAAGAGCGCCAACTGCCAATCAATCAGTTGGTATTCATCAAAATTGAGGTTTTGGTCAGTCAAAATTCTTATGATATTATACCTTTCCAGCATCATAGATTTTTATACTTCAAAAGAGAGATATAAACAAGATGGTATTATTTTTATGCTAATACGTTCTATAAGAATTAAAAAAAAATGCTACGGTATCATCACAAATCAACCTTCTTAGAAATTACATTAACTAAAAATTTAGAACATTACATATAGGATCATAATTAAAGTGGAAGTTGCAAATTAAAGGAAATAAACTAATTAAAGCACCATATAGCTAGGTTTTTATTTGGCCAGAGTTTTATTATTCCTTCAACCATCGAATCCAAAGAAAGTAGCCAGGAAGGAAAATCAAGAGTACTGAGATATTATTGAAACAACTACCCAGCACTAGCAGGAGAGAATTTTTGGTATACAATATACCAGCTTTATTCCTTGATCATGGAAACCACCAGATTAACGTACTTGCTTTCCTCTCTTCCCAGGTACTCGGCAACCTTCTCCATGTATCTCTGAAACAAATCATCAAGCATCTCTTCTCCAAAGTGATTCAGGATCATTGGTTCGGCCACTGCTCTTATCATCTTTGTCACGTTCTGTGCGCTTTTGAATTTATCATAAACAAGCAGCTGGTCTTTATTTTTATTAATGCCATCATCCTCCGTTAATGTGGGGTCCCAACTGAGTTTAAATATCTCCATCCGGTCGAGCTTAAATGATCCTTCCATCTGGATTAGGTCCTTTATTTCATGGGTGGAAGGAGTGTAATAGGGAAGATTGAATGAATCCAATTTTGCCTCTTCAATAAGCCCCTGGATTAATTGAACAAAACAACGCAGAGAGCCAGAGAGAAAAGATGGGACAGATGAGCTTAATTAGTTAGGAAGAAATTAAAAGAAGTTAATGAAGTGTACCTCCAAGACCATGTCACTGAGTGACATTGACAATAGCTCCCAAGTGGTGCAATTCTCTTTGTTCCACGGATCAATACATGTTCTGCCCATAACTGTTAGGACCATGCGTCCTCCGGGAACCATCTCTTGGGAACGTAGCTTGAGAAATAGTGAGAAGTCCCTTTGGAACTGCTCCTTGTATGCATTGAGCACATTAGGAGGACTTGACTCTACAATGTAAATGTTCCCTTTGTTCAGGGCTACGCCTGTTTCACTGTCGTCAAGACCCGGAGGGACCTAATTACATTTCATTTTGGTTGGTTGTTAGCCCTGATCACCTTTGTGTTCATATATACATATAATATAATAATGCATGGGCTTAATCTTAAGATCAAATTTCACAACTGTACTGCAACGGAATAGATTAATTGTTAATTTATTATTATTGGTGGTGATAACGACGAGATGGTTTTTTTTTTTTTTTTCCCGAAGCCTAATTAATTAGGCAAATTCATTAAACTGGGCTCAACAAGCAATAATCCAAAAATACAATCACTAAGGAGGTCAGGGCAACCGGACCAAGTCTGGGTCCTTGCAACACGTAAACCAAACTTCGCCAAGTGAGACTAGCTGCCTTATTGGCAGTTCTGGGAACAAAGCTCACTGAGCCATCGTCTATTCCTTATGGCCAGACTTTGTCCCAATTCAAATCTAATTCCATTGAGTTCGATTATGATACCGAAAAGATATAATATCTGAAAAATTTATGATCAGTCAACTGAAATCATAAACGTGATAGTCAATTAAATATTATTTATCAAAATTCATAAATAAATTTTAATTAATCAAAATTCTTTTCATACCATATCTTTTCTGCATTATTGATTTTCAATATCTGTTACCCCAAATACATTAAATTAAGAGTGGATTGGACTGAATTAGAAAGATTATTAGACTTAACCTAAGAATTACCGCCTCCTATATTTTTGTACCAATTAAAGAGCAGATTGGAACAATCTGCCACAAGCTTGTGCAAAAGGGGATGCATCAAAATGTGTTAAGGCCCAGTTCAACCACCTTAGCATCTTAATAATCTAATTAATGATTTCTAAATATGCATAATCATTAATTAACAAACAAATGCTGCTGCTCACGACTTTTTCTCCAAGTTGGTGCAGTAGGCAGTTGACCCGGAACTTCGTTGATGATATGGGACTAATAATTAATATAATATAATATTCATGTTTAGAGGATCAGCTTAAACAGATAATCACATTAGCGGCCGTCAAGAAAAGTTTTAGTCAGAAATGGAGACCGGATCTGCTCGCGCCTCACACAAACATCTTATTATGCATTGGAAATATCTCTTGCATTTATTAGTAATAATTCATAGGAGATGTTCCCAATGTATGGTGGATGTGCCTGTGAGGTGCTCATTTATGAGGAACAGATATCATCATCAAGAAAATCAGCCCCCTACAAGATTGCCCCCAATAATGTCGCAGGGCACATTTCTACCGTGTATTAGAAACATTTCTGAATGATGACATCATTATTTTTGGTATTATCTTAGGGAGATATTACCAATACACAGCAGAGACATGCTGTCATGCTGTGGGACATTGAAAGGGGCTGATTTGATCTCCAAGAGATGCCACAAATATCTATGACACGAAAGATCATTATAGTTGTCACTGATTTTCAGCATAGGCAAATGAGTATTGTTTAAGTGTGGAAGTGGTAAAACGGGCTATGCTGGGCCGGCATTACACAGCTCATGTGCGACTCGCACTTTGTGCGGGCCATGCCTCCCCCATGGGATATTTTGGGGGTTGGCCTGTGTGGGCCCGTGCTGTGCCATGGGCCAAGTTAGTCTGTGGGCTGAGCCTTGGGCTAAGATAGGCTGTGGACTGAGCCAAAGTTATGAAAGCTACGACTGGTCCGTGGGTTGGGACAATCGTGCCATGTAATATTGGTCTACGGATCTGAAACCTCTGATCCAGCACGACCCACACAATTGTGCTATGCTTGGCACGACCCATGTGCTGTTGTGCTGGGCTGCTGGCAGCACAATCTGATTTACACCTCTAAGATCAAATTCCGTGTGCTCCAGGTTGGAGGGGCTTATGGGTCCGGGGATGACTACCGCTATAGTGGCCCTATAAGCCAAAGAAAACTGCAGATTCAGATGTCTTGCAAAATAAAGGTTGTGTATAAAAATGATGATCTGGCTTGATGAGAATTTGCATGCTTTTGGGTTGTAAATTGCAATACAGTAATGCTTTTATTAGCATAAATGTGATACCAAAGTAGATGCTAGCGAGTTCTTGAAAGCAAACTTTCATGGGTAGAAGTGAAGGTAACAAGCTCAGAGGAAGAATCGGATTATATCCTTAGATTTCTGTATCTTGCACAGAATTAAGAATTGAATTGGTTCTAGCCAAATTTGATTAAGATTTAAACTGATTATTGAGTTGATAATATATAAAAGTTTTTTAGTTTCTTTTGTAATATTTATTTTATTTAATGTTTAAAATGATAAATTTGATAGATAATATATAAGATATATAAATTTGGTTTAAAACACTTGATTTATAAACATATAAACAATTTACCATTTTAATGTCATTTTTATTAAGATTATATTATAAAAAATTGAGTTAATTTTAATTTGTTATTAACATAGACTTAATTATCCCTATTAATAATAAGAACAGTTTTGAGTCTATGATTTTATTTTGATTAATAATTGATTCGGGACTAATACACTATCTTATCAAGCCCAACCCATTGACATCTCTAGTTAGTTTCGTAGTTTCACCATTTCTTACAATTCACAGTCTATGACCATAAGGCTATGTTTGATTTGAAGGAAAAGATAGGGAAATGAAAAAAAATGTAGGGAAATCTATACCAACATAAGAGTTTGGCAAAAGTTTTAGTGCTGCCACGTAACTAACCTGACACAACCTTCTTCTCTGGCCGAATTTAAGACCGGCAGTTCACCGGTGAAGTTTTCATTACCAATAAGAAAGAAAGAAGATAAGCTTAATTACCTGAGAAAGCCAATGGACTCCATAAGAAGAGTGAACAAAGTACAGAGATGTGGTTGGGAAGAGTCTCTCGTAGAAAGAGCCCGGAGTTCCGACGATGAAATATCCCTTGAACTCAGGACCTTTCTCTCTCTTAAGTTTGTCATAAAACGCAGGCAAAGACCTGAAAATGGTGTTGAAGTCATTCCCAGGAAGGTCGTTTAAGAACACTTGGACTTCTGGCGATGGACGACTCAAGCGGCGGCATGTGTTGTTGATGGTATTTATAATCTCTGACACCACCAACAATGTGTTGGGCCCTGAAGAGCAACCTAAGTCTGCAATTGCCACACATGGTGGGAAGCTGGTGCTATAGAGATCTTGTATGCTGTCTTTTATTATGGGTTTCGCTTTCCATATGGCCGTTTTCTACAGGAACGACGAAACAGACCAGATTATTAGATCATCTGAGATGTGTGAGCGAGCGAGAGAGAGCAGAGAGAGAGAGAGAGAGGGAGAGAGAGAGGGAGAGAGAGAGAGAGACCTGAAGTGATGAGTTATTGGCATAGCTCGTTTCTCCTTCTCTTGCTATCATGTGGAGAACTTGTTGCACTTCCAATGGATGCTTTTGTTTCTCTGCTTCGACTTATTTCATCGAAGTTGGAAACCATTCATCACTTAAAAGAATTTGATCAACACGACAGGGGAAATAAAATAGGGTAAATTACAGGAACCTCGCTCCACTGCATTTTGGAGTTTGACCGTAATGATGGTATAGAAGAGTAGAGTATACGATAGGAAGTAGGAGAGAGAATGCTAATAGCTTTCCTATTTTTTATTTTTTGTTGCTCTTTGCAACACAAGAGGTTGTATTTATAGTAGCTAGAGTGAGTGGTTGCAAGTAAACCCATTTTACATTTGTAGTTAATATTATTCGCTCTAGATCCTTCTTTTAATGAAGGAATTTTGGCCACACAAATTTACCTGCTTCTTAAGTATAACTAGGAAGTTATAGAGTAAAGCATTCTAGAAATGTGTAGCAACTTCTAATACTCCTCCTTGGTGCACATTTCAATAACTCCAATCATGTCTCGTAATAGTTTGAACTTGCCTTTTAGTAGTACCTTTGTGAACATGTTTGCTAATTGCTCTTCAGTCTTGCAGTGTTTGAGTTCTATTTCTTTGTTTGCTTAAACTTCTTTGATGAAGTGATACTTGATGTCTATATGCTTCGTTCTACTGTGAAATACAGGATTCTTTGCCATTGCTATAGCTGATCTGCTATCATAGTAGATTTCTTGTAGCTTCCACTTGTGGTTCTCCCATGTCTTCAAGTATTCTTTTTAGTCAAATAGCTTGGCTTATTGTCATTGCTGCTGCAATATACTTTGCTTCAACTGATAATTGCGCAACTGTTGCTTGTTTCTTTGATGCCCAAGAAAATATCCCTGATCCAATTGTGAAAGCATATACTGACGTGCTTTTCATGTCGTCTATTGATTCTGCTCAGTCACTATCTGTGTAGCCAATTAGTTTTGAGTCATGCGTGACTCCGTACCATATTCTGTAGTTCATTGTTCCTTGCAAGTATCTAAGTACTCTCTTAGTTGCTCCATAGTGAACTTGACTTGGACTCTGCATGAATCTTGATAGCAGACTAACTGCATACATGATGTCTAGTCTTGTAACTGTTAAATAGAGTAAGCTTCCAATTAAACTTCAAAATTGTGATTCATCTGCTTTTGGTGAGCCGTCTTCTTTCTTGAATGCTTTATTGTTGTCTAATGGAATTGATATTGTCTTGCAGCCTTCCATTTTGAATTTCTTCAAGGGAGTCTCTGTATACTTCTTTTGTGAGATGAAGATCCCATCTTCTTGAGTTATTTCGATCCTGAGAAAGTAGTGCATTAAACCCAAATCGATCATTTCGAAAGTCTTCATCATGTCTTCTTTAAATTTCTTGATCATCTTCTCATTATTTCTTGTGTAAATGAGATCATCGACATATAAAGAGACAATAAGTGTGTCATTTGTACCTTGAGTCTTGATGTAGAGTGTTGGCTCACTTTTGCTCCTCCTGAATCCTTGCTCAGTGAAGTAGCTGTCGATTCTAATGTACCAGGCTCGCAGAGCTTGATTTACGCCATATAATGCTTTCTTTAATCTGAGAACTTTATCTTCTTGTCCTTGCACCACGAACCCTTGAGGTTGCTCCACATAGATTTCTTCATTAAGCTAGCCATTGAGGAATGCTAACTTCACATCTAGTTGGAAAATCTTCCATTTCTTCTGTGCAGCTAGTGCAATCAATGCTTGATTGTGTCAAGGCGTACAACTGGAGCAAATGTCTCATTGTAGTCGACGCCATATTGTTGTGAGTATCCTTTGGCAACTAACCTTGCTTTATGCTTCTGGATTGAGCCATCTGAGTTAAGCTTTGTCTTGTAAACCCACTTAACTCCTATAGTGTCTTTGTCTTGTGGACGATCTACAAGCTCCCATGTCTCGTTTTTCTTGATCATCTTTATCTCTTCATCCATAGCTATTCTCCATACTTCTTTCTTAAAAGCTTCTTCAAAGTTTTCTGGCTCCATAAGCATCAAGTTGCATATCTCATATATCTCTATTAAGGATTTAGTTCGTCTTGGTGGCGAGTCTGGAGGAGATTCTATGGCTTGTACTGGTTCTAATTTTGTTGTTGATTGAGTTGGCGATCCAGTTTGATTGTGGCCTTCTTCAATTTCTTGTCTTGGTAATAGGGGCATGTTGATACTCTTTCTTTCAACTTCTTCTGTCTCCCAATTGTATGCAACGTCTTCGTCGAATCTTACGTCTCGGCTGATTATGAGCTTCTTTGTTCTTAAGCTATTGACTCGATAGCCTTTTGATTGATTGCTATAGCCTAAGAAGATTCCTTTCTCAGTCTTCTCATCCAGCTTGCCTTTTTTCTCTTGTGGAATGTGAGTGTAGCATATGCAGCCAAAAACTCTGAGATGCTTTGCTGATGGCTCTTGTCCACTCCAAGCTTTGATCGGTGTCTTATCTTGCACAACTTTGGTTGGACATCTGTTGAGCAAGTAGACTGCAGTGCTTACTGCCTCTGCCCAAAAAGTTTTTGGAAGACCTTTATCCATGAGCATGGCTCTTGCTGTCTCCATAACTGTTCTGTTTTTTCTTTCGGATACTTCATTTTGTTCTAGTGCATATCCGACTGTGAGTTGATGCTCCATGCCTTCATCTTCACTGAACTTGTTGAATTCATTAGAAGTGTATTCTTTGCCTCTGTCACTTCTTATCGTCTTGATGTTGTGACCACTTTGCTTCTCGACACGGGTTTTGAATTTCTTAAAAATATCGAAGACGCGATTTATCTCGCAAAAAGTAAACCCATGTCATTTTAGTATAGTCATCGATGAAGAGAATGAAGTACCTGTTTTGATCATTTGATGGAGTACACATTGGACCGCAAATGTCTGTATGGATTAACTCTAGTGGCTATTTGGCTCTCCAAGCTTTTCCGGATGGGAAAGGTTGTCGATGTTGTTTCCCGAGCATACACCCTTCGCAGACATTGTTGAGCTCCTTGATTGCTGGTAGGTCTCACATCATGTTCTTCTGCTAAAGGATCTTTAACCCATGGAAATTGAAATGTCCAAACCTTCTATGCCATAGCCACGACTCATCCACTTGCGCTTGCATTGCTACATTGCTTGCGTATCTCCATTGTATGGGAAAACATCTATTTTCTTTCATTTTTATTTTTGCAATTTCAAGGGATTTGTCTTGCTTGTCGTAGATTGTGCAAGAATTTTCCTCAAAATGTAAAGAGTATCATTTCTCCATCATTTGACCTACACTGAGTAGGTTTTGATCAATGTTGGGGACCAAGAGTACATCATTGATGTATCTCTTGCCTTGTCTGGTGTCAATGACAATGGTGCCTTTGCCCGTTGCTTCCATGAAGTCACCATTACCAATTTTGACTTTTGTCTTGACTTTATCAAGACTATAAAAGATGCTTTCATTTTTTGTCATGTGGTTACTACACCCACTGTCTGGATACGAAGTATCATTCTTTTCTTCTAATGCAGCTTGGCAGACGTAGAAGAGATTATTCTCATCATTTTTCTCTTCTGAAAAGTTAACTTGATGGGATTTCTTCAAACGACAAGTTTTTTCAACGTGCTCTAACTTTTTACAATTTTGGCACTGGGGTTTTTCTTTAAACCAACAATCTTCTCCAAGTGGTTTTTTCTTTTACAAATACCACATGGAGGATATTTGTCGTTATTTTTTTTGTTTTCCTTGATAGTTCTTGTTTTTAAGATTTTCTTGTGACTTTCTCCCATAAGCTTTTGAGTTATGAAACCGCGAATTAATTTTAGACTGAAAGGCATTTTCAGTCGAATTTTCATTCTGCCTATCTCGCCTATTTTCATGTGCTTCGAGAGAGCCCATTAATTCAGTTGGTGATAAAGTTTCTAAATCCTTTGTTTCTTCTATCACAGAAATTATTGCATCATATTTTTCTGTACAAGAAATTAGTATTTTTTCGACTATTTTCTTGTCAGAAATAATTTCCCCATAGGCTCTCATTTGATTTACTACTTCTTTTATTCTAGAATATTAATCTTTTGCGGTCTCATTATCCTTCATCTTAAGATTTTCAAAATCTCTTCTAAGCTTCTGTAGTTTAACAGTGCGTACCTTGATAGTTCCTTGGAACTCCTCCTGCAACGTGTTCCATGCTTCTTTTGTTGTTGACGCGCCCATAATTCGTGGAAATATATCGTCTGCCATTGCTTGTTGCAAGCAAAATAACGCTTGAGAATCTTTTTGTTGATTCTCTTCTTGGACCTTCTTTTGATTTGCTGAGAGAGTAGAAGTGTCTTCAGGAATACTGAATCCTTCTTCAACAATTTTCCATAGATTTTGTGATCGAAAATAGGTCCTCATTTTGATGGACGAAAAATCATACTTTTCTCCATGGAAAATTGGAAGAGAAAGAGAAGAGTGGTTGGAATCGGTATTCATAATGAGTAAGAAGGATTACGCCTAGTGTTGATCAAACAAAGCTCTGATACCACTGGTGGTATAGAAGAGTAGAGTATATGATAGGAAGTAGGAGAGAGAATGCTAGCAGCTTTTCTATTTTTTTTTTTTGTTTCTCTCATACACATATTTGCAATACAAGAGGTTATATTTACAGTAGCTAGAGTCAGTGGTTGCAAGGTAAACCGACTTTACATTTGTGGTTAATATTATTTGCTATAGATCCTTCTTTTACTGAAGGAATTTTGGCCACACAAATTTACTTGCTTCTTAAGTATAACTAGGAAGTTCTAGAGTAAAGTATTCTAGAAATGTGTAGCAACTTCTAATACCTAATTATAAGTGATGGATGCTTATAGATCAAAATTTAGTTAACTAATTAAGTTAATAATGTAATAAAAATTATAGATAAAAATAATACAAGTTTTTATTTAAGAATAAAGTTAATACAAATGAATACATGTTTATTAATAAAACGAAAAAAAGAAAATTTTAGTTTCAAAATTAAATTTTTAATTTGATATTCATTTAAGTTTCATTTTAAAAAATAAAATGATATTACAAGTTTGTCGATAAATTAAAAAATTGCTAGTTTTTGACTTAATTATTATTAATTTATAATGATCTAATCCCATTTAAAAAAACAAAAATTAATACTAAATCAAAATTTAGTAAAAATTAAAACAATTTAACAAAAAAAATAAAAACTAATACAATTAGGAATGTCACAATGCTCCTTATTGGGGCGCAACTTGGATAGGTTGGGTTGGGTTGGGTTGAAACTTCGAGCTCAAACTTGGCCCAACTCAAGGTTAAGTCCAAGTTTACCAACCTAGGCCCAACCTAGGCTTAACCTAACACATCTTGGCCTGGGCTTGTGCGTGTTGAGCTTTGTAGCCAAATTTTTAAGTTGAATAAATTCATAATTTGTAATAGATATATGTATATCATAAAATATTGGATAGATTCAAAATGGATTGGGTTTGGCTCAGGCTACCCAAAACCTCAACCAAAGCCCAACATGTTTAGGTTAAGCTTGAGTTTTTTGGTCCAAGCCTAACTTGAAGTTCGAAAACTCAAGCTTAACCTATGCAAAAACTTTAGTTGAAGTGGATTGGGTTCAAGTTAGGCCGACCAAAATTACACCTCTAACTCCTTTTGTCAAATTCTTTTAACAAAGCTCGTAGTGATGTCCCTGTGACGCAGCGTGGAA